ACATACGTACTATTGTCCATTAAAAATTATCAATACTTGTAACTGTTCTAGCTTCAACAATTCACACAAATAAAAATAGCAAACACATAATAATTGTTCTTGCTTCTACAATCCACACAAACATAATAATCGTCTACATCTTCATCATCAATAATGGTAGCTAAACTCAATTTCTCAAGCTAAACTAAATTTCTCAAGGAAAATTGACCCTTTGGTTAGCGGGGCGGGTATAACAGGGCGGGTATTATCGATTACCATACCCGCACCCTACCCTTTATTTTGAAACCGGGTATTACCCGTACCCGCCCCTTAACCCGTCAAAGCGGGTAATTACCCTCGTTGACCGGTTACGGTCGGGTAGGGTACCCATGGTTACGGGTTGGATTGACATCCCTCCTGCCAAGTGCCAAATACAAGATGGGCCGGATTGAGGCAAACCAGCCTACTGCATAATTGGGCCTCGTAGCCAATTTAAGTATCCACGTTATTTGGGTCTGCTCGAGCCCATTTCTCATTGGTTTCTACATTGATTGTTTTTTCCTTTTTTCTTCTCCGAAGCATGGATCAGGAAACCGTACCGGACATCATACCGGAATCATCCGTGGTAGGGTATTTTGTGGTACAACCGTGGTTCAACCCTTTTGTGCCGGTAAATATCGTTTTAATAATAATATAATATTATTTTTGTAAAAAAACCGTATCGACAAGTTAGAGTATCGTTTCGGAATAATACCGGAATATACCGGAATAAAACAAAAAAAAGAAAAAGAAAAAAGGCACATATCATGTCTCCCATCCCATTCCACTTTTCCTAATGCTACCACCCACTCCCACGTTCTCCCCTCTCTCTTTCTTTAATTATTATATTTCTTTGATACTTTTCCCTATCTCTTCGCCTCCCGCAAGCCTCTCTCTCCCCTTGTACATTTTCTTTTCTCTCTTATTCTCACTGATCCTATCTCTTTCCTTCTCTTCCTCTTCTTAAAACAATGGCGGCCGGGAGAAGAGCGGCATCTTCAGCCAGGACTTGAGAGGAGAGGGAACCTGTAGAACCACATCATTTCTCGATCTCGTCCTTCTAGCCGGTCTCCAGAGGCAGGGCTGAGCTGGAGCAGGCGAAGGAATGTCGCGGCAGGGAGGGAGACTTGGCGGCGTTCTCGAGCAGCCGAGTTCGTCCTTCTCGCCGCCGTCGTCGGTCGTCACTCGCAAGAGGTAGGGGTGAGCTGGAGAAGAGAAGAGGAGCGGCGGATTAGGGATTCGGAATGGCTATTGAGTATGGAAGTGATTTTTGTTTTATTTTTCCCTGTTTCAAACGACGACGTTTTCTTTGCAAAACAGGCAACCGCCGGTTGGAACAAAACCGGGCGATATTTCGCTTAGAACCGGTTAAACCGAAAATTTCGGCCGGTATGGTATTTATAGCAGCAAGTGCATACCGTTTCGTTTCTGGTCCGGTTTCCGGTTTTACCGGTTCAACCGGCCGGTACGATCCGGTTTCCTGGACTATGCTTCGAAGTAGTAGTGTAGTGATGACTGATGACCTAGTGAGGTTATAGACTAAACTCACATGTTGGGGACGCAAACCATGAATTCGACGATACATGGATTTCTTGATAGACAATCTTTATTGATGAAATCAAAGGAGGTTGGTCGCCTCGTTACAAGGTTGCACTCGCCTCATAGTTGTCATTCTTAGCTAGTAGGAGGTGGGGGTGGAAACGTGCTAGATCACCATTATTGATGAAGTTTGGAGAAGTGGGCGAACCCACTTGAAAACCAAGTCGTTACGGGCATTCCAAACGGTACAAAGATTGGCCACCACTGCCACTCACGATAGAAAAGGCTGGGAGCAAATCATGGATGTGGTAAAAGTCACATCAAGATCAGCAAATCCCTCTACGGAAGAGGGAGGGAGGCAAAGCCAAGCTGCCACAAACTTCTTGCATGCTGGCATTCGAAGAAGCAATGCCAAGTATCTTCAACGTCTGCATTGCACACAAGACACCACAAATGAAGGAGACAAACCAAAGATTTGTCTTTGTGGTAATTGCATTTTTGGTGATCCTCCAAATGAAGTTTAAGATATTTGGTGGGAGGGACAAGCTCCACAACCATTTACAGGCTTTGGCAGAGCACCCAAGATGATTTGGATCTTCGGAACCTTTTACTAGTTCTCTCATTTGTCCTATCTTATGTTATATCGTCTACTAGACTAACGTTACCAATTAAAGTTCAAAATTAGATATCTTAAAATTACTTTTAAATTCGGACTTGACGTGTCAATTCGAATGAAATAATCCGAAGCTACTATAGGGGATTGGAGACAAAAGCATTGAAACCTTATGAGAGTCATAACGCTTCAAGATGATTAAGTGATTTGTCCGCCATAAAAAAACATACCTGATAATGTGATAGATGTGACTTTTTACTGTTTCAACTTTTTTTACCTCATTTTTTCGAGAATCGTAATGCTTCATGATGATCGGGTGGTTTTTGCTACTTATTATTCAATATAATTAATAAACTATTTGTGTAACCTATTTTTAATCGATAGAAGAGGCTTGCTTTGTTGTTTGATCTAAACAAGATTACCGCATCTGGTTCCATAAGCAAATTATGAATATAAAATTCGAAAAGGTACACAATTGCTATTGGAAAAAGGAGAAATTTGTGAAAAAAACTCATATTCCCAGCCATGATCAAAACAATAATTTTCAGAAAATCAGGATAAAGAAAATAAAATAGAGGAAAAGATATTACTAAGTTCTATTACTAAATAAATTCTACGGCCTGAATCCCCTTGTCCTTTTAGCTTTAGGCGCCAAAGGAAGATCCAATCCATTGCTTTGTAAACATATTTCAGACCAATTAGGATTTTTCAGAGTCGTTACTCGTTCTTTCTCCCTCTACAAACCCGCATAAAACCAAGTCCTTGAAGCAATCCACTACTCTTAAATGGAGTCAAGCTTTCTCGGGTACGAGGAGAAAGCTAAGATTCAACTAGAGACTATATGCAGGAAGAAGCAAAGATGGTGCTTTGTTTATGCTCACGTGATGAGAAACGGAGGACGATTGAAGCTGTAATAGTGATCATGGAGTTTCACTACTTCCAGACGAGCTTCTTTACAAAAAAATCTCAATCTCTTGATCACTACACGAATGAAAGAGACCTTGTCGTTTTTCGACACGAAAGGAATAAAAAAATTCTTGTGACAATCATTAATAAAATCTCGAAAACTCGTAGTTTTTTAACATCACACATTTCATCACCACGGTATTGAAATCGCAGTCCCACCTCTTATTTGGAAGAAAAATGATAAGTTGTAATGAGAAAAAAAAAACGGTTTAACTATAAATGGAGAATTCATAATAGTGAATTATTAGGGATTCCATATATAAAAAAAGTCATTCGTTATATAGTTATTAAATAAAAATGATTCCAACTCAGTCAGAAATGAAAAACAACGGTTTCAAAAAGGGCCAAGATCAGGTGACTAAGGGGGGTCCCCTTAGTCACATGGCTAAGTGAATCTCAGCCACCCAACCTCATTAAAATCCAAGGGCTCCTATTAGTTCAATTTAATGAAGGGTAATGTAGTAATTTCATGTTTATTTTTAACTTTTAATTATAAAATAAAATAAAAAAATTTGCTTCGTCCCGTCCGTTTGCGTCGCCTCCCCGCGCCGCCTCCGATGAATTTCCGCCTCCGGTGAATTTCCGGAGAAAGAATGGGCGCCATTATCCCATTCCCCCTGATTCCCCCTGGCGCCATTATTCCAAGTTCCCCTGGCGCCATTATTCCACACAGAGAGAGAGAGGATTTTCACCCTGTGGGTTTCTGGCAGCCCATGACCACCATTTTCCAATTGAATTGCCCAGAGAGAGAGGGGGGAGAGAGAGAGATTCCACCCATTTTCCTTTTCCCCATTTTCCAATTGTGTTGCAGAGAGAGAGAGAGAGAGAGAGAGAGAGAGAGAGAGAGAGAGAGAGAGAGAGAGAGAGAGAGAGAGAGAGAGAGAGAGAGAGAGAGAGAGAGAGAGAGAGAGAGAGAGAGAGAGAGAGAGAGAGAGAGAGAGAGAGAGAGAGAGAGAGAGAGAGAGAGAGAGAGAGAGAGAGAGAGAGAGAGAGAGAGAGAGAGAGAGAGAGAGAGAGAGAGAGAGAGAGAGAGAGATTTTCTGGCTGGGAAATTTTTTCCGACGAACATCGACGCCGGAGAAGAATTTCCCGGCGATCGTGCTAATTTTGTGATGTTTGTTGACATATTTTGTAATGTTTGTATGTTTTGTTATTTTGTAATGTTTGTCGTTTTTTTTGTAATGTTTGTAAACTTTGTTATTTTTGTGCACCATGTTTGTAAACTTTGTCATTTTTGTGCACCATGTTCGTAATGTTTTTTATGTCTAAAAAACACCCGGGTTGACTTTGGGAAGGAGCCCCTCTATATAGGGACGGAGCCTCCAAAGTCAACTCGGGTGTTTTTTCCCGTTCGTATGGATTGTCGGTCTAGTTTGTCATTTTTGTCCACCATGTTCGTACTGTTTGTATGTCTAAAAAACACCCGGGTTGACTTTGGGAAGGAGCCCCTCTTATAGGGATGGAGCCTCAAAAGTCAACCCGGTTGTTTTTTCTTTTTGTATGGTTTGTATTGTTTGTCGGTCTAGTTTGTATTGTTTGTACAGTTCATACGTTTGTAATGTTTGTAAATCTGTTTGTATGTTTTGTCGCTCTAGTTTGTACTGTTCGTATGTTTGTATGGTTTGTACTGATTGTAAATCCGGTTTGTATACTTCGTAATTTCCATAATACCCAAACTACCCCTGTCATTAATTAAATAGCCCTTCCCACTTTTTAACCATTGGATTGAAGTGTCCAGATCTAAGGGCTGGGAGGGACTTAGTCAAGTGACTAAGCACCCCCCTTAGTCACTGGATCCGCTCTCTTTCAAAAAGGATTCCCCGCACCCAACTAACTCATTTAATTATTTTACAAAAATCCAAATCCTTTCCCTTTCCCCTTTCCTCTCTTTTCATAAATCCTTCCGTCTCCGACGAATTCAATTGCATGCCATTCTTCTGCCGCCATCAATCGCCACCGCCATGCCTACTACCGCCTCCGCTTCCTCCACCTCCGGGCCCGACGGTGGTCCTTCTTCCCTCGTCGCTCGACTCTCCTCCAGTGACCCCGATGTCAAGCTGAAGGCCCTGCGGGAAGTCAAGAACCAAATAATAGGCAGCAAGACGAAAAAGCTCAGCTACATAAAGCTCGGCGCCGTCCCTCGCGTCGCGTCAATTCTCTCCGCCGCAATTGCCGACGGCGACTGCTTCCAGCCTGCTCCTGCCGCTTCTGTGCGGGGAATGCTCGGCTATTCCAGCAATGTCGTCGTCCAATCGGCGGCAGCTCTTGGCAGCTTCGCCTGCGGATTCGACGACGGCGTCCAGGCAGTTCTCGCTGCGGGCGCTCTGCCGCTTCTGGTTAGACTGCTCGATCATCCCGACGACAAAGTAACGTGCTTATCTGATTCTTATTCCTGTTTTTTTTTCCTTCTTCTATGAACACAAATTTGAGAAGGAGAAAAAAAAAAAAAAATAGAGGTTGATACTGCAGACCTAACTTGCTATAAAGTGAAATGAACCACAATGCCAATTGAGGCGGGGAGAATTGGAATTCAAAGTTAGGTTCTTCAATCCTTTTGCTATGATTATTCAATGGGTGATAATCCATTGCTTTGGTCATTTGGTGTTTCAGGTAGTGGATGCTGGTGCTCGCTCCCTGAAAATGATCTACCAGTCTGAATTTGCTCCCAAATATGAAATCCTTGAACGTGGAAGCTTAGAATTCCTGGTTTCCTTACTGAATAGAGAGGGTGAAAACGTTACTGAACTAGGTGCTCATATCATAGCCCATTCTTGCAGGACGTTCGAAGAGCAGAAAGTTATGCTCGAGGCTGGGGTTCTGAAGAGGCTTGTCAGCCTCCTAGATGGGAGTGTAGGTCAGAGAGATGCTAGCTTAGGTTCTCTTGCTGCAGCTTTCAAAAATAACTCTGAAGTCATAAAGGAGTTTCTGGGACCTCATGGCGGGAAATCGTTCAATGCCATACTTAGGTTGACCATGGATAGCAATGCCAAGACGAGGCTGCTCGCTTGCCAGTGCTTGATTGTCATTAGGGATGCTACAGATTGCTATATCCAGGAATTGGGGCTCAATAGGAAGTTGGTCAATACTCTCCTCGAGCTCCTTGATGATCCAGGTCAAGTTGGAGATGAGTCCCCGTTTGTATTGTCTAGTCTGGTCTTAGGGAAGGAAGATTTACATACGATAGCTCTTGAAGCTGATGCTATGGTTAAATTTCATGATTGCATGGAGAAGGAAAATGTCAATCCTAGGCGTCTTCGAGGTGTATTGTTGGCCTTGGCTGATCTCTGCTCAAAGTTAGAAATCTGTAGATCGACATTCCTATCCATGCAGGTACAATGCATGATTAGAATCCAATTAGTTTTAATGTTTGTCTTTTTCCTCTGTTATCTGTGCTAGTTTTGCCTGCCCTAAATCTATCTATTGAAGTTATATTTCCTGTATGTTCAATGCATCCAGCGGAGGTTGCATGCTGCCCAAACGATATTCATTTCTTTCCTTAAAAGGGTCCTCTTTAAGTTTAACCAGTCAATCTTGAAACATAATTTTATGTTTCTTAAGTTGCATTAGGGTGCTTGGTTAAACTTGACCTCCAAGCGATTCAACGTGTTTTTGCTTCATGCTAAGCTCAACCCGGCTAGTTTTACTTTGGTGAATAGTAGACGTGTTTATAACATGGATATTGAGTTTGGCATGTCAGAGAACTGATCCCGATTGCAATAGAAGTATCTGATGTGTTGGCTCGTCATTATGAAGTGTATCAGTGCCAATCCCACTGTCCATAGCTAATATGGGTCTGATGTCTAGGTTATCCTGATAATTGATGTCTTTTCAGCTTGCAACCTGTACTAACATTATGTCACTGGATTTATAGGTCTTGAAACCACTTATTGGTTTCCTAAACCATAAGGAGGAAGATATACGAATTGCAGCTTGCACCTGCTTAAAAAATGTTACTCGATCAATCAAGGTTTGCCATCTGCCCGCTAATTTTTATGATTCTTGACTTCAAGATCTATCATGCCTGTGTTTTAGCTAATGGAATGCTTTTCAGAATTTGTGTGCAGGTTACTTTATGAAAAATGAAGCCCTCGTCACTGCTTTGGTTCTGTTGCTGATGGATGCTTCGGAGGAAGTCCAGGTAATATTATTCTCAAGTCCTTCTGGAACATAAATTACCTTTTAGTAATGCAAGCCCTTTGTAAGAACTCCAGGTTTTCTCTAAGCACCAGTCTCGGATCATTGTAGTTAGGCTGCGCCTTTGTTGTAGGGAAGAGAGGTTGAGGTTAGGGAGCACAATTTGTATTAGTTACTAAATAAAAACATTTGTGCCTTCTAAGAGATTCAGTATCGTTGATCAAATCCATCAATTTAAGGAAATCAATTGATCACATGGTTTCTGATGCTTCGTGTTATTATTTTCCATTTAAGGGGTACTAATTAGGTTATGACATGCTACAATTTGGTAAAAGCACACGTGGCTACTATTATTCCCAGTAATTTTTTTTTTGGGTTTTCAGGTTGCAGCTCTTGGTGTTGTGAGCAATATTGTTGTTGATTTCACTACACAAAAGTCTATGTTTGTTGCACATGAAGGCATGCAACAGCTTTTTGGTTTATCAAAATCAATGGTTCCCGCGGTTAGGTCAAATGCCCTCTGGGCTTTAAGGAACATGACGTTCCTTGCGGATGACAGATGCAAAGAAGCAGTTTATTTAGGGATGACCCCGTCACTGATTGCAGATCTTATATGTGGTAAATTTAATGTTTTCAATTAGTTTTTTCAGCTGAAGTATGTGATTTGCGCACTTACTAAAAAATGAGATAAATCTACATTTTATTGCAGACGATGAGCTTTCTGTTCAGGAGCAAGCTTTGGCCCTTGTTCGCAATCTTGTTGATGGAAGTGTTGAGTCAATTGAGCAAGTTTTTGCCGATGATGGTATTATTTTAGATGCTGCCGGAAGCCAATTACAGTGTGGTCCAAATGCTGAAGTTTTGATACAGGTTTGAAAACTCCAACTATGATTTTCTTGGTTCCAATAATTATTATGTGCAACCAGAATTTATTAATTACTTTGATGAATATATATATAATAAACAGAGAGGGGAATATATTGGTACAAACAAAAGGGAAAGGTGAAGATATTAATTACTTGGCTGTGTTATTTGTGGCCGTCTTGCAATCTGTGGCTGTCTTGCTATCTGTATACAATAGTGTCAGAAGAAAATATTTGCTAATGATGACAATCAATTATATGGCATTGTCCAGATTTTCGCATGCTAACCGAAGAAAGATGGATGCTTTACATCTTTGCTTGCCAGTGAATATTATCCTGTTTGTCAATTCACTTGGCAATTGGACATGGCCACATGCTGAAAATTTTAGCTATTGCTGTAGGTTCAGGGTAAACACCCTTGATGCATGGTTTAATTTTATTTAGAGCGTACTTTGGTTTAGCCATGGTAACTTTGAGTTCTGAAGCATCTTAAACTTCCGGTATACTATACGTTTGCATGCATTCCTGAAGGACATTGTACTTCTAGATAAACTGCTGATGCAGTAGACCTGTATGCTTGATTAGTGTTTGGATAGAACCGTCCTTCATGTCTTGTGCATTTTTATATGTAGGTTCAGATTTCACAAACATCATTTCATATTTCTTGACCATTAGTTTCAGTTTTTCCGAGAAAAATGTTCCAACATCCAAGTTCTTATTGTATTCATACTCTCATTTGGTTAAAAACTTCAAAATTACTTTCCTGCCACTTTTTTCTATTTATATAATTTTCGTTTTATTTAATGATTTTCAATCCCACGGGTTAACGACATTCTAATCTTGTAGGGAATGTACGTGCTCGGAAACATTGCCTGTGGAAATGAGATTCATAAGGAAGCAGTTATGTGCCTGCTTTTCCCACTAGTGGGGAGGGGACCCGAGCCTTTCTTTGTCAACTTCTTGCTGAGTACTGACAGTAGATTGCGCCTTGCTACTGTGTGGGTCCTTATAAATCTCACCTTGCCATCTCCTGGAGCATTGAATCGGCAACAAAGACTACAGAAAGAAGGGGTGCTGTCCATAGTAAGGAGTATGGTCAATGATCCTTGCTTGGATGTGAAGGTAACCGAAAATTCATATATAACGATTAACGATTACTTTAGATTTGGGGTTTTCTCTAAATGTGTCAAAGATCTGGCTAATGGAAGCCTCTTTCTTTTCTTCTTTCTTCTTTCTTTTCTGCAGATTAGAGTAAAAACATTGCTCACCCAGACTGAGCTTGGTGACTTTTGACATCAGTTGTAGAGGATTAACCTCTGAAACAACTAGATCATAGAGATGAGTGGAGACAGACATTTGTTTTTTTACATCTTAAACTTAGCCGTAGCAATATCTCCAGCTTTCTTCCGGGCAACGTATCATGCTTCAGCCAAGGTTTGTAGTTTCAAGCTACTGCTGTAGTTTCATGGTGCTGAATGAACTATAGAATTATTATTAAGTACAGAAAATTGGAACATTTCATGGTCTGGACTAGTTGAAGTTTTCTTTCTTGTGTGTTTTTGTGGATTGCACACATTTCGGATGAATAAAACACAATGGCTTATGTGGTCATCATCATCAACCATTTGGTATGGTGACCCCTAACACCTCGAAAATGGGTCATAAAAACTTTCCACACTTACTGACGTAAGCAAGCCCAAAAATATTTACTCTCTGTTGGAAATTTGTCATGGTTAGTTACATGTTTACGCAAACTGTATAGTTGTTCTCTCTAGATAATTTGTGATGAAGTGAAAAAATATCAGATTCATGCTTTGATCTTCTCTTTTCGTCGTGACGTTCTAGCTGAAGAACTATGTGCATGATCCCGTTTCTTGCCTTTTGTAGGTGCAGAGTTTAGAGTATCCTGTTTTCACAATTACAGCAGTGTGAGAGGAGATGCCTTTGTAACATTGTGGGATGCAGTTCAACTGTCAAGAGTGTGTTCCCTGGAACATGAAATTGTGCATACAAATGGCTGTATCATTATTCAGTTGACTATCTCAGAGGACTCCTGTTGTTGTATTTTGTACATTAACTGCCATCAGTTTGCATGGCACTGTAAAATGCTTGCTTAGAGAGTTTATGCAAAACTTCAGGTTTTCTCTTCGGTATTGTCTCTACTAGCTGCTGCATATGCTGTTCTCTAGTTGGCATTATTTTGAGAATCTCATTGTTGTTTATAATACTGGGTTTAATGCGTTGGAGCCGAGTATCAAATCGATTACTTTCATTAGCAAGCAAAATCAGAGGTTAATGTTGATATATGCTATATGTAAAGCAGGGCCAGGGTATTTATTGCTGGTCTCTTTCCTTTTACAGCTCTGCAGCAGAAGAAATTGCCATATCTTTGCTTGGAAAGAAAGGTAACCATCTTACCATTGATAGATGCTTGACTTGTACCATTATATACACAAAAGGTGCTTACATTATACATGCTACAATAATATCTTTTTTCTTTTTCTTTTTTGTGACAGTTTCTTTTTGTCTTGGATCATATATAAAGATCAACCAAGGAAACCAATAAGTTCCATTGACGAGTCTGAATTCCCTGAGCTACAAAGTGACAAAGACGAAGCAAGCAAAATTCCTCTGGAAATCTTTCTTTTCTGGTGTGGATCTCTTCCAGCAGCAACTTCTCGATTTAGCCAATCTTCTCCGTGTTGGTATCATCCGATGGCCATATCACAGTCTCCAGGAGCCGTTCACGCATTAGCGCCAAGTTCTCGTCCGAAATCTCTTGGTACATCTCCGCATGGTTGCATTTCTGCATTCACAATTACCATATTACTCACACAGTTAATCACATTGTTTACTATGAGTCGCTTGCATAATGTAAGCTAAACACATTTCCTTATTACCTTAATCCATTTTCCATACAGGTGAAGCCTCGTCACCATTACTCTCTCAGCAAGGTCCTGCCTCTCCTGTATTTCACCCAACAATTCATTCAAACTTCTTTCAGCAATTTACTCCATTAGGTAATTCATTCAAACTTCTAATATAAAGTGCGTACTTTGGCTAGAGTTCGGATGAAATGCTTCCCAGTTCCAGGCTTGTTCATGACCACAAAACTACAAACCAAATAGGTAAAAGAATAAGGAGACTATATTATTTCTATGTTCCAGTTGAAAACTTGAAAGATTCTTGGTGCAATTTCGCAGGCTTACTCGTAAAACCAACGGTAATGAGTTGGATTCATCTCATACAGCTGGTTCATGACCGTCCTCACTGCCTTGTACGTGAAGTAGTTCATTATTGGCTGCAACAACAACAATATCAAGAGACGACCCATCAAACAAAAGGTGAAAAAGATTCAACCTTTCTACCCCACTTGTGCTTTCTTCCATTGTCTCATACCGTTTTAACGTCATTGAAGGTGTCTTCATACTGGCCACCGAGCTCTGCGGCGATAACCAGCCTCCGTTGGTCCTTCCTCTGCTGCTGCTTCCTCGCCATACCTTTGCTTCTGCTGCAAATCCCGGAGATGGCAAAAGAGCTCCCTAGTTCCACCGACCTTCCGGCCAGCTGCTGCTTCTTCTTCATGGAAGAGCTCCTCGGAATCGCCAAATCAGGGAGGGAATCTAACACCACCGACGAACCCACCATCGGCAAAGCTGCTGCTGCTCCCCCAACCATTCTCTTGGATCCAGAGGTTCTCAGAAAACCCAGATCAAAGGTTGCTACTTTTCTACTGGATTCTGACAGATTATGAAGGCTGGGAAGGGTCGTTGAAGATACTAAAAAGGGAGGAAGGAATCTAAGTGGAGATTGCAGAATCTGGGAACAGGGAGGGATGGGCGCAATTAAAGGCGTGGAATTGAAGGTAAGAGAGAGAGAGAGGGAAACAGAGGGTAAGAAGCAGAGGGAGTCAAGAAGGGCGGAATGTGCTGGCGAGAGGAGGCGTGAGACGACTCCTCACCAAGCAAAATTTCTGAGGTGGAGAATTCTCCAACTTGGTCCCAGAAGAAACTTTGGGGAAAAAATCAGCGAGGGAAAGGTGAAGCACACGACAGAATCTAGTAAGTAGCGGAAATGTGTTTTTTCTTTCAGCGATGCTGGTTATTAGGTACCTGGACGGTTTTGTTGGTGGGAAAAAGGCTTGGCTGTGGGTTGCCACTTGGCTTTTCTTGCCTTTGAAATTTCCCACTATGAACGTGTTCAATTTCCATCTTTGAACATGAGCATTTAGTTTGTCAACGGAAACTGCAAGTCCTGGATTTTGGGTTTGGATGGGAATGTAGAATGTAGCGTGCTTAGAATGCTCATATCATTACGTTGAGCAAGCCATGCAAGACATCTAACCACTGGCCTTAGGGGTCAAGATGTCCGGTCGTCGAGATTCGTGACCCTAGTCACCTGGTTTTGAGGTCGTCATACTCATGACATAGTCGATAAAGACCAAGAGTCACGGCTTAATGCTTGTCCGGTGGGACTTGCAGTCGGATTGAGGTTATAAGATGATGCTCGAGGCCTTCGCAATCTCGATGCTTGTTTCACTTGGTCATGCGCGTGGGTTGACATAGATCAATTGAGAGTTGACAATAGCCGACGTGAGACTTGACCCCTTGAACAACCTTTTAGTAAGGCATGATTTAACACTTCTAGAGGCATGGTACAATTTATACCATGACTATCAATGAGTCTTTTAGCGTAATTCCGAGCTTCTACACAGATGATGTTTTCTTGGAGTACTGATACATTGGTTATCGATGATTTTTTTTACATATATATACATCTTTATCGTTGCAAGTTACAATTAGATATTGTGTGTAGCCTCTCACACCAGCACACTAGAAATCTCGTGGTTTTCATTTTTCTATTAATATAAATGTAAGCATCGCTATCACTTAATTAGTAACTGAACATACTAAAAAGTTATCAATAGAATCATACACTAATTCATATCTAACATTTGGACAAAGGTAAACATTTGAACCTAGCTGGGTGTAGGAGTTAGGTTCGAGTAAGAGTTGGGGTCAAGAAGAAGTGCGAGTTGGGGTTGGATCGGAGAGTCAAAAACTAGAGAGCTGAAGGAGGACGAGAGAAGGAATATTAGAGAGATAAGTTGTTATTGTAGAGAGAGAGTGGTGGAAAAATGCGATCCCCTCACCCACCGGAGTAAATGCCATATTTATAGGCTACCCGGTGGTGGGTGAGTGGATGGATTACATGATTACTTTTGACCTTGACATGACTTTGACATGACCACTGACACGTCGGGGATTTAGGCCATGCCTCTACCTAGGACGTGTCAGAGGTGTACCTACGACCATATTCCAGATCCCAACGTGGCCGCCCCTCGGGGATTGTGGGCGAGACTCCTCTTGGCCCTGTGGCTTAGTGCTTGCTCGGCGCTCTCAGTATGCGCGTGACTCGTGACGCGCCTGGCTCTCCGCGCCTTGACGTTTCCCGCTCGCGCGCACCTTTGTGAGGGGTTCAGGGTCTTCGCGCGTTGGTTCTTTCTATCCGCGCGCATCCTCACTAATATCTCCCACGTTGTGCCGCGCCTCGTTCCTTCGTGCGCGTCTTAGGTCGGCGCGCCTTACTTTGCATGGTTAGGTCCGAGTCACATGCCCAACAATTGCCCCCCATCAGAGGGTGTTCTGCGAGCGCCCTCTGTTTAGGTCTTCACTTGATTGACTCGGGCCTGGGCGCGTTTTCCGGGGCTTCCTGCGCGCGTCTTGACGTTCCGTGGCCGTGTGAGAGGTTCTGTTGTAGTTGCCTGCTTGAGCGAGATCTCCGGAGTTGGGACTTCGAATCGCGCGCACGATCTGTGATTTTTCTCCTTTCCCGATCCGCGCGCGTGATTTTGGTGAGATTTTTTCTTTTTCCCTGGATCGTGCGTGCGATCTTTGTGGGATTTTTCTTTTCCCTCGCGGGTGTGCTATGCCCCCCAGGCGCCGTGCGGAACTTGTCCCGTCGGCGGCTAGTACCTACTTCGAATAGGTGTCCACGTGTCCTTACCTGGTTTGTCCGTTTGGGCGGGCGAATTTTGAAATTCGAAACGTCTGACGGTTGAGATCTTCGAGGTTACTTTAACCCTTCGCCTTCCCTCTAATAACTATAAGTATCGGCCCGTTTGGGGAGTGGGGTTCATTCTGCCTCATTCTACCTCTTTCTTCACATCTGAGCTCAGCTCCTCTCTCGTGTTCTGGTTTTTCGCCGAGATTCTTCTCCTTCTCTTACAATCTTGAATCTTCACTCGTTGTTCTTCTCTGTTGCTTATTGCCATCATGGACAACACCAACACCAACATCGGCGAGGTTGAGATCGTACAAGACGAAGAAGGTAATGTTTCCCCCCTTTCCCGTATTTCTTCTGATCCGTCGCTGGAATTGGCGAATTCCGGCGGCGAATATGGCGGTGGGTCTGGTGACGGCGGAGCTCCGTCCACACCGTCGGCCGGAGTCGACTCGGATCCTGACTTCGTCCTCGGAGAGACAGAGGCGGATGAAGATGCAGTAGTCCACGGGAGCGAGGGACCGAGCGCGCAGCCCCGAGGCGTCCTGATAATCCGGCGTGACCGCGATGGGAGGCCCGGGGTCGCGGAGGGTGTTAGTACTGCGGACGCGGACGAGCGCGAGGATTCTGACACTCAGTCAGCGCCGGTGATTGTAGAGCCTATCAACGTGGTACGCATCACCGAGGGGATGAGCCGACTTGGCCCTCGTTACGTGGACGCGGCCTACACTGTCCTTGACTGGGCGGAGATGTGGGGCGATCAGCCGGCTCCGCACGACAACTTGTTGCGGGGACCCGATCACGGCTCAATTTACTCGCGCGAGGACGTAGAGGACATCGTGCGCGGGCTGGGTTTGCCTCCGCACTGGGAGTACGCGGTGCCCTCCGTGCGGAGTACAGTGGGAAATTGCCCCCCAGGGTGGTTTGGGGTGTACAGCGAGTACTGGGTGATGGGCTTCAAGTTTCCCATCGACCCATTGTTGTGCGCCATATATAGGCGGCTCAACTGCTCGGTTGGGCGCCTCTCTCCATCCATCGTGATGCATGCTTCCTGCCTGCGCCTCGCTTGTAAGCGGCTTAACATCCAGCCCACATATGGGCTGTTCCGCAAGTTTTACAAGATCAAGGAGCCGAGCAAGACGAGTGACTGTTTGTCCATAAAGCGGCGCGACAACAGGCCTGACGGGTTCGTGTATGGTTCCCCCAAATTGAAGAAGACGTGGTTTGAGCGCTTCTTCTACGTTAGGCCGGTGCCGGGGGAGTGGGCGAGCGAGCATGTGGATGAGCCCACTATGTGGAAGAAGGGTAGTACTCTTAAGTTTGAGTCTCACGTCGGCGCGTATGATGGGCTTGAAAGAGAGTATCAAGCATGTTTGAATCAGAAGATGAATCTCTACACGCGCGGAGTTCGCGAGGCCATTTTGCAAGAGCTTTTCGCTGATGGTTAGTTGCTTTCTTTTCCCTTTGCATTCTGTCATAATTAACCGGTTTCTTACGATATTTTGGTGCAGGTGTCAATTTTGCCGACCTCGCGAGCATGATGTCGGTGGACAACGTTGCCAAGGCGCCCCGGGCCTCTCGTAAGGGGAAGAAGAAGCAGAAAGATGGGGCGCAGAGTAGTAACGCGCCAGCTGCCAGCGCCAAAAGGAAGGATCGGGGGCAGCCCAGCAGTGCTCCCGCGAGTGGCGGGAAGAGGAAGGAGTCGGCGTCGGAGAGGGAGCCGGCTGATGGGAACCCGAAGAAGGTTGCGCGGGTCGTGGAGCCAGAGGCGCGAGTCGTTACCGTGTCGGAGGCGCGCATGCAAGAGGCGCGCCAACATCCTCTGGTCATCGTCGATCCCGAGGAGCGGGTGGGCAACTCCCCGCGTCCAGAAGGGGTGGTGGCTCCCAGCAGCTCTGGGGCCTCTGGGGCCGCTGGGCAACGGAAGCTTACTGACATGTTGGGGGGCGTCCCAGGGGTTGACTATTACCGCGACGTGCGGCTGCACACCGGCGCGGCGTGTAATAGTCAAACCGCGCAGGCTGCTTTGCGGGCAGTTGGGCCTGTGCTCAGCATCCCCCCCCGATTCGAGAAGTCGGATCCTCTTGTGGACCTGGCTCAGATCCATTGGGCGGTAAGGCTATTCTGTTCCCGCTCACGGTTATTTTGTTTTCTTTTCGTCCTGCTTCTTTTCCTCCTCTCTTTTTTTGTTTAAGTTGTAAAGCGCCGTTTGTGCAGGGTTTGCTGGCGACTTTCCGCGCCCAGCAGGATCGCGCTTCCACGCGCGCGAGGCTGAAGACGGACGAGTCTCGGATCGTGC